GGAGCCCTCATCGCTCTCTGCAACTGCCTGAAAGGAGGCTGGAGCCGGGGGGGTCGGTCTCTTCTCCCCAGGAACAGGCGATGGGACGAGAGGGAACGGCCTCAAGCTGCACCAGGGGAGGTTTAGGTTGGGTATTAGGAAAAACTTCTTCCCCGAAAGGGCTGTCAGGCCCTGGCCCAGGCTGCCCAGGGCAGGGGCTGAGTCCCCATCCCTGGAGGTATTTAAAAAACGGGGAGATGTGGCACTTAGGGACTTGGCAGTGCTGGGTTAACGGTTGGACTTGATGATCTTAAGGGTCTTTTCCAACATAAATGATCCTGTTTCTGACGTGCAGGATGGTTGGGGGTTTAAACTTGTCTTTCTTTGGTTTCAGATAATGGTGTTCTTAGCAGACTGTATCTGTCCATCCAAAAGGCACAGACCACCACAGTACCCTCATTCAAGTAAGCCCACTGCATACATCTAGATCAGTGAAGCTGTTTCCTAAATCTTATTTAATAAATATCAGTATGTAACTTGTGTCTGTAGGACATGAGATTTAGTGTGGAAGTTTACACTTGGGATTGATGCTTTGCTTTACCTGCAGCTGTTTGCCCTTAGGGTTTATAGTGGCTTTGTATTTTGTATTTAGCTAAAGCTAACTATTTTTAAAAAACTTTTTTAGGAGATAGAAAAATGTTTTTGCAGCATTTTCATACCTGCAAGACAGGAAATTCCATATGTGCAGAGAGATAAGACTAAAAGTTTTGAGTGGAGCTCTCAGTGTTGCTAAGCTGGGGGTTTGCCTAAGTTTTAGGGGCAAAGTGAGTATTAAAAGTGAATTTTTCTCTCTGTGGATACGAAGTGATTCAATTTGGGATTAGTCTCTGGAATTTTTCAAGGTCATCTGAAAAAGTCATGGAAGAAGATCTGAATGCTGGTTTATGGTTTGTAGGAACCTGATTCATTTTTTTCAAAGCTGGAGGAAGTTTTATATTACCTTGCCTAGCTAGTCTGTAATCTGTTAATACCTGGCCTGTGGGTAACTTCATGCTAGCGACAGTTTTACCTAAGGTCGCAGCTTAAGTGATTGATACTGGAAAGTGCTACCTGGATTAAATTCATTCAAATTCTGTGCTAGCTCACGATGTTAAAAAAAGTGTATTTCACATGGTAGTGGTATTTATGTGTGTATTTTCCTTTTTCCTTAAGGAAAGCTAGCTCCAGAGTCAGCTCAGCTGCTGAAAAAGCTGGATGAAGAGCAAGAAGCAGATGAGGAAGATATCTCAGATGATGAAACGGAGGGTAAAGAGGTGTCCGACAGAAACTCTTCACCGAGTGCTGTGAGGCAGCGCCCAGTGAACACTGCTGCTACAATGGATAAATCTTAGCTTTATTTGTGTGCAGGATTAGTGGTTGAGTCACCAACTCAGAAGGAGCTAAATGTCAAATCCTTCAGCTTGAAGAGAAGAATGACTCCTGTCATGGTAATATTGATGCATTTCATGAATTCAGAGAGAAAAAAAAAAAAAAAAAAAAGGAAGCATCTTTGGCATCAGGTATTCCAAACTAAAACATGCTGTTGCAAATGCTGAAACTTCTCCTGTCTGTGTGCAGAGAAGTGCCGAGAAATAATTTATGTGGCTTCTTGAATGACTTGTTCTATAGGGATTTTTTTTAACAGAATGTAAACCAGTGTACTTGTTGCATTAGGGAACATTAGCAAGGAAAATGCACTAACCTGTTTGCTGTTAAAGCATTCAAAAAGGTTTCTCAGTATAAATCTTACCTAGTTGTTCTCTGAAGAAACGCTGAGGGGGAAAGTTCCCTCAGTTACGGGACACGTTCCAGGCTTTTTATGTGACAAAAACTGCTTTCTGCTATGACAATGAGTGCTACAAACCCCCCAATCTTTCTTCTTCCAAAGAGATGAAGGTTGCTGTCTTCATGTAGAGGAACAGAAGTTGCCCTCTGAACAAAAGCTAGAGAGCTTGTCTTTGCCGTCCTCCTCCCAGGTGGAAGTTACCACAAGCGCTCCGTGTAGTGTGGATTCTCTGGCTGACCAGAAACCTGCTATTTGCCTCGATTTCTTTTAGAAAACGCTGTAGAAAACTCTTATGAGCTGCTTGGCGAAGTAATTCTTCTCCAGAAAAAATGACAAGTAGCACCACGAAGTCTCGTTTGTCTCAGTGGCTCTGATTCAGATGGGAATAGTTTACAGGCAGGGTTCTCTGCTGAGCGCAAATCCTATCCGTTCATCCTGCTGAGTGGCAGTAGGACTCTGCTTATTTTTAATACATCATCAGTAATTTCTGCTTAATCAAATTTTACTGCAAATCCGGTCAGGCCGTACCTGGCCTGAAGTTGAAATAACTGCTTCTTAATTTCTTTTACAGAAAGTCATCTTTTCTCTTTTCACAAAACCATCTTGAAACAATATACCCTAATACTTTCTTTAAAAACCTGTAGTCTGCTGTTTTCTGTATGGTATTTGTTTTCACTCCGTGTAGAAATAAAACGAATGCACACGCGCATTGGACCAGTGTTATCTTGCATCGCTTGTAAAGAATTTTCCATATTCTTTCAGTTAATTTCCAAAGTATTTGCAAGGGAAGGGGTAGCCTAGTGCTGAGCACACTTAGGTTTTTTGACAAGCCTGTTCTTGCTGGGTTTTTTTTGGTTTGGTTGGAGTTTTTTTCGTTTGTTTTTGTTTTTAGTTGTCTTGGGCGGTTTTTTTACATCGTTCATCTGAGTGGGTTTGCAGGACTGGCAGTTGATAAATCTGTGTCAATAGCTAACCTGGTTGTGAGTAATTAAGACCGCAAACAGAAATGCTCTTGGTATTTTCACTGCAGCCAGGCTCTCGAAAGCCAGGCTCTCGAAAGCCAGGCTCTCCTAGTGATTGTTAAGAAGGCAGAGCATCAAACAAGGAGCTCGTAGTGAGCTCTGTGAGATACAAAAGAAAATTGGGGAAAACGATATTCCAAGCTCATGCAGGCAAATCGGCTCGTAAAGCTGTTAAGAATATGCCATGTTCATTGTCAGTCTTGAACGCTTCTTTGTAAGTCGTGTTTTAAGTATATCCGATAGATGATCATTCGTCCTCCGTGTTCTGAATGGCACCAGGTGATTCAGCTAGCCAAATGTCCCAGTGAATCGTCAGGCAAGTTCTTAGGTGAGCAAGAATGAGCCCCGTAAGGTGTCCTGGAACCTCCTCCATTGACCCTTCCTTCCTTTCTGCTTTTTCTGAACATTGGTGCTCTGGAATGAGTTACGACTTTAGTGCTGCGCTGTGTTAGGAAGATACTAACTGATGCTGGAAAGGGTTCTTTTGGTTAAAATCTGAGTGTTCCTGTCATTTTTAGATATCGAACTTGTCCTGGTGTTTGAATGAAGACGACTGTGTGCCGTGAAAGCCCTTAAGGTGTTGGTCTTGTGGGATTGCCTTAAATTCTCTAAAAGTTTAGATCTTTGCCTTTGTCACTAGTAAAATAAAGCAATAAATCTGTGATTTGCTAAGGAGAAGTAGTAGCACTGTCTCTGATAAATGGTGTATTTCGTTAGTTTGGGGAGGGCCTGAGAAGATGGGACACAAAAGTGCTGGATGCTGTTGTCGGGGAAAGGTGTTGAATTGTTTTAAAAGCTGAACTATATGGGCTAACTCCACTTGGGATATATTTAAATGTAGCTGTTACAAATGCAGGGTTTTCTGATTCTTCAGTTACTTTAAAACTGTGCAATAGAGAAAGTATATACTGATAACTTTTGGCTAACTTTTAATTTTAAAAGAACAACCAGCCTTTTTTTTTTTTTCCTTGCTGTACTTCTAGACTCCGGGTTTAACGACAACTTCTAGCACTGATTTACCTTGCCTTTGCCTCCTGCACACCTACCTTTCCTTACTGCCTCCCTGCCTCGGGCAAGTAACCGAATTCCAAAACCGCCTCTTAGTCCTGAGTGTTCCGAGTTGCGGGAATCCAACCTCCGGGGCAGACCCGTGCTTGCGGTCAGCCCGACTTCTGCAAGTTCTGTTTTGATGATCCATAGGCAGCCTCTCTTTGCTGGTCTCTGTAAATCTTGCTGTTCGTATTTTTAATAATGTTATGGGGTTGTCCTGTGAATATTTAAGTTTCTTGATATTTTTTTTTTTTTAAATCTCTATTCCAAAGATGTTTACTGAGGCGGAGCGAAGGTTGCAGTGTAAGAAATGTGCGTCGGAGCCTGTCCTTTGTGTGTACTGATGATGCTTGAATATCAGTTTTGTAAAAGCCAGACTGCCCTTTCCCTGTCATCACCTTGACCAAGCATGTCCAATCTAATTCCAGAATTAATTAACTGTAACAATACTTTTTTTTTTTAATGTTTCAGAGAGTCTTCAAGTAAAAAAATAATCACCGGCTTTGGATTCCTGTGTCCGTGTCTTTTTTTTAAGACTGTATCTTGCCGTTTAGCAATGAAGCGAAACTCCAGCTATTTCCATGGAAGAAATAAAATTGCAACATACAGCTAACAACCCATTTCTGATAAGTCTTTTCGAAAAGACAAGTTTGAATAATGCTTCAAACTAAAGCTGCGCTGAGGTACTTGTGTTTTTGCAGTTGAGACCGGCTTGAGCAGCTCACGGTAGCGTGAGTCGACCGCTTACCGCTTTGGTTAGCTGGTTTGTGTGGTTTGGGAAGGAGCTTTCGCCAGGCTTGGACAGCGATGGCAATAAAACGGGCTCTTGTGTTGCAGAAGGAATGTAGGCTGGAGTTGACAAATGACGTTTCAAAGTCAGTTCTTTGTAACTTTTTTTCTGTATTTGCGTAAAATGCATGCAAATTGTGTTTCAGCTACAGCCGGGCTCCTCCCCTCTTCCACCCACACCCGTTATATCACATCTCGACAGCTGAAGGGGTCAACATCGGTGCGTTTATCTTGGAGTGGGAAACTTAATCCAGAATTGTCCGAGTTCTGAGATGCAAGAGGCTTCTTGAGGAGGAGACGCATCCAGAGAACGTGTGCTCAGAGCACTGCTGAGTGACAGCCGTCTCGGCGCAAAGCTTGTCAGCCGGGAGTCTGCCTGGCCTGGTCCCGCGCTCTTTCCTCTCTCTCCTCTCAGGAGGGAGCGTTGAGAACACGGTCGTGGCTCTCGGTCTGAACGCCTGGAGTTTTCTGGGAAAGTGCAGTAATACTCGCGCGGTTCCTCCCCAACAGGAGCAAGGGATGCGTATTGCCTGGGGAATTCAGGGGATGCTCGTGCAAGCTGAACTTCCCTGCTCTTCCACTCGATATATTACGTATAACAGAAAATAACAGCCAGTCCAAGGGGAAAAAAGGAGCTAAAAGTCCAACGGGAATATATTTAGATACCGGGACTAGCCTGATGAGAAACAAAAAAGCAACTGTATGCTTAGCTGGCAATCTGCTTACCAGATTGCCGAAGTCAGCCGTAGGTTTGGGTTTGAAATTGGAATGGTTTCAGTTACGACACGGATTGATGGGGAAGCAGACATTCGGTACGCTGTGGCACGGCTTCACTGTTCAGAAAGAGCCAAGTACAATGTCAATATTAATTTTAAGGCTTCTTTATCTAAAGCAGAGGGAATCTGTCTCCTGCAGCTGTCTTACCTCCTTGTCCGCATCAGCTGAAGTTCTTGGTTTGACCTGAGCAGCGTCCCCTTCGGCTCTCCCCTGAATTTTAGTTCTGACTGCAATTCTGGCTCACACCGCACAGCCCGCTCCTAGGTCAGCTTCTCTTTACCCTGCTCACCTCCTCGTCTTGCTGTGGGCTTCATCAACTTCAGTTACTCCCTAGAAGAAGAGATTCTGCCTTGGTCTGGCCTTTTTCCTCACTTCTCCATATTGAGCTCTTCAAAACTTCCCAGAGACAAGTTTCATTTCTATGTAGCATTGCTTATAGACATTTTCTTAACTGCAAGGCCGATCCAGAAAGCCGGCTCTTAGGCATGTATCAGATGTTTAATAGCCATCTTTAATCTGTGAAAGGGATAAATGTATTTCCTTTATCTGGTGAAGTGCTTGAGTATATACGTATCCCTGTTGTAGCACTTCTTGTATTTGACCTTAACCTCTTGCATACAGAAGCCAGCCTCCCAAAAAGCCCCTAGAACCCTATTCCTGGCAACGCTATAGCCTGCGCACGGGGATTTGCTTTCTGCTCCTCTCCTATGGATGCTGAAGTTCTCTGTGCTGCGACACGGCTCTGACCAGAGAGAAGGTGCCGATAATTGTAATAATGAGAGGAACGCTTGGTGTCGGGGCCCCGTGGGGGCTGAGCGTGAGGCAGAGCACAGCCCCGACCTTCCCGGCGGCGGGAACCCGTGCGTTTCTTTCGGAGAGCCCGTTTCATGGCGCAGCCGCCGCACACGGGCCTTGGAGTGCCGGGAGC